CGTAATTGTACAGTAAACATATAGCAGTATGATACACATTAGGGTGGGTAGAATAATACATAGTGTTATATTAAAATGGATAAGGCAGCAACTGCAGCAGCAGCAGCAGCAAGTGCAGCAGCAGCAGCAAGTGCAGCAGCAGCAAGTGCAGCAGCAGCAGCAACTGCAGCAGCAGCAGAAACTGCAGCAGCAGCAGCAACTGCTGCAGCAGCAGTAACTGCAGCTCCCTTTGATGCTGTTAATCCTGCATAATGCACATGCATATGCAGTACTAATCACATTCCTGCATTTCCCATAAATATGCTAAATTCCTTTTGATATGCAAATTCCTTTGTCAATGCGCCCAGCTTATATATATGCTCCAAGCTCGTGTGCTGTTTCATTCAGACTCTGTCGCCTCGACGGACCTGGTTTTCACCTGAGGACGGCTGCTTGCGTTGTGGCCGAAACGTCGTGAGAATTGTTTATTATGTTTTATTTTTATTATTTTATTACTTCCCTTCTACGTGACTTTACCGAAAGAACCAAGAAGATGAATCCCTGCAGTCACGAAAGCTTTAAATCGAAATCTCACCACATAACGCAGAGGTTACACGTCTCATCAGCGCGAAGCAGAGTGTCACGTGGGAGCTCGCCGTGGCAGCGAACGGAGAATGCACAGAAGTTGCTGCCACTGCATTCATGGGCTAGGAATGCAGTGGGCTCTGAAAACAGCCATCTGACTCCAGGGCTACGGCTCACATCAGTGGCCAACATCGCCATCAGTGGCCAACATACCCCAACGAAGTGGTTTATCGCGTGGAAATTTATAGCAGTCGAATCCACTAAACGCGTGATGTTCATTTTACATGTGGAGGGCGAAACCGGAGGACCCGGAGAAACATCCACAAGGAGAGAGAGACACCGCAAACTCCAAATATACAGTAGGCGTTAGGGTCGGAATCGAACTGACGACCTCCTGTAGAACATGCGAGGTAGTTACCATCTCCTAGCCACCGTGGAGCCCCGTAATAATACACAGCAGTGATCGCCTGACCAAATTGCACATTTGTGTCGTACCCCCTGCTCCACCCGACACGGCCACCTGTGGGGGGCATGTCGATGACATCGCGCGATTACAGGAGAGGAGCACAGATCTGGCGAGCGCTTGCTTGGTGCTGTCATAAGCAGCGAAACGTCGGAATGTTGCGGGATGAACAATGATACTGTCCCGGTGATGAACACGACTCGTAAGGCGCGCGTGTTCCTGGAATCGGACGCAATGTTCGACCGAGAACAATATCCCGGTGCGCTGAACAAATAAAATACATCGGCTCGTGTGTTCACGTGACCGCTTCGTTCGTTTTGGCCGCGTCGGGTGGAGGAGGGCGTACGACAACACACTGCCAAAGAAGTTCACCGTACGCGTGTAGAGTTTGCTGAACTTCTTTCGCACCGTACGTAGACTACCGCGCTAATTTGGACGTGCGAGGGGAGGGTCAACAAGCTAAACGCAAAAAAATCTGTTTTAAAGAAATTAATTTCAATCTCGCGGTGGAACTCTAAGAGCGAATTCGCTGTGGAGGCGCGCAGGCGGTGCAGCTGCGCCAGGGAGGTGCCACGCGCCGGAGGGGCCCAGGCGGGAGGGGAGGGGGCGGGGGAAGGGGAGGGGGCAGGGGGAGGGGGAAGGAGGGGGGTGGGCAGGGGGAGGGAGGGGGGAGGAGGAGGGGGTGGGGGGAGGGGGCGGGGGGGGGGCAGGGGGGGAGGAGGAGGGGGCAGGGGGAGGGAGGAGGGGGGAGGAGGAGGGGAAGGGGGGCAGGGGGGAAGGAGGAGGGGGCAGGGGGAGGGAGAAGGGGGGAGGAGGAGGGGGCGGGGGGAGGGGGGCAGGGGGGGAGGAGGAGGGGGCAGGGGGAGGGGAAAGAAGAAGGAGGGAGGCAGGGGAGGGAGGAGGGGGAAGGAGGAGGGGGCGGGGGGCGGGGGGCGGGGGGAGGAGGAGGGGGCAGGGGGAGGAGGTAGAAGGAGGGGGGCAGGGGGAAAGGAGGCGGCGGAGGGAGGGGGGCAGGGAGGGAGGGGGTAGGAGGAGGGGGGCGGGGGGAGGCTGTAATTGGACGGAAGGGCCCCGTTTCACCTCTTGCGGCAGGAGCCGTGCCCCCCCCCCCCCCGCTGGACTTTGCCCGCGGCGCCCGCCCCCGACTCTCAGTGCGCGAGTCGTGGCGGGGAGCGGTGGCGAAGTGGTCAGCGCACCGCGCTCCGCCATTCAACGCAACGGTCCCGGCCAGCAGGGTTTGACGCCCGGTCCTGGGCCTCCCCCATCGGTTGACTCAGCCCTACAATGAGCAGCACATGGTGCGGTATATAACAACTTCAGCACTGGGGAGACAAAGGCGGCCGGCGTGGTGCATGATCGCGTCACGTCACAGAGCCCAAGCGTACGCGTGATTGTTCTTCCTTGTTTAACACTGCTGAGCGACCGTCTAGACTCTGGAACAGGAGTGGGGAACCTTTCTTTTGCCAAGGGCCATTTGGATATTTGTAACATCATTCGCGGGCCATACAAAATTATCAACTTAAAAATTAGCCTGTTATATTTGGTCAGACATTTAATTAACTCACCCCTAATGCGATGGGCTCGAACTGCTTCTCTTTGGGGAGGCGTGGTGATGTTAGCTGGTGATGATGTTGCTGCTACTCGCAACTGCTTTTCCAGGTTTGCTCCTAGATTTATCGAATTTCGAGTCGCGCCTGCGGTTGCCTTGGCAGGGCCAGACCCAAATGATTTTTGTTGTTGTTGTTCTCTGTGCTTGTGCCCCACTGCCAACCCAGCAGCATCGCCGTGGAGTGCTGAAGTCTCCAGCGGAACGCTCGCGATGGCGGCTGTGAACGAGCTCGCAGCTGAGTGGGGCCTCGCCTGGTGAAAATGAAAACAACAAATGTTTAGTTTAGTGACACGGCGCCATCGGGCACGACCCAGAACGCGGAAAATCACACAGGGGGTGAGTCACGAAGGGCGTCCGCACGCGAGCACGGAGGAGATCCCCGGCAGAGGGCGAGCAGAGCTCTCGAGTGAAGCCGTCTGGGTTCGACACCGGGTTACCAGTCCCGTATCCCCCCCTCACGCCACTATGTTCGCATCACGGACTCAGAGCGGTCGGCATGGGCCCTGGTGCGAGGAATTAAATGCCCCCCCCCCCACCCAACTCTGTTCATAGCCCGGAGCCTCCAGCCCGTGGCACCCCTCGGCGCAGTTGCAGCGCCTGCACACTCGACCCCTGCGTGAGCACAGAGGCGTTACCCTGACAGAGGAATGAACTTGCGCCCTCGTCACCATCATCATCATCAGCAGCTGTGGTCTATCCACTGCTGGTCGCAATCACATTTGGCCCGACTTGTCAGCCCGCTTTGTCGAGGGTTGACAAGTCAGCCTTCTTTGAATGTACATTGATGGTCACGCCGTCAGCAACTGCGAGGGGAAACATTCACTCGCCGCTTCTCCAGACGCCCCTAATTCTACCAGGCCGCTTTCCAGAAGTTCTCGTGGCCCCGAGAAGCCGGCACGAGAAGCGCCTCTCCCCGTCAGGCAGGGAGCGAGATGTCAACTACCTCGCCTGGTCTACAGGAGGTCGTGGGGTAGATCCAGACCCTGACGCGTGCTTTATATATTAGTGGGCGCCGCAGTGGCGAGATGTTGACTACCTCGCCTGGTATACAGGAGGTCGTGGGGTAGATCCAGACCCTGGCGCCTGCTTTATATTTGAAGTTTGCGTGTCTCTCTCCCCGTGGTGGTCGCGTGGATTTTTCTCCGGGTTCTCCGGTTTTCCCCGCCACATTTAGAGTCAACACCACCACGCGTTTGGAGTGTTTGGCTGCTGCTATGAATGTCCACGTGATGACGAGAAGCCGCTTTTCTCGAGCAGCCATCATGTCTGGTGGCCAGGGCGCTTCTGAAAAATGAGCTACACAGCTCAGTGGGGTCTTATCGTGGTAAAAAAATAAAATAAAACCATTTTGAGTGAATCGTGTTCAACAGATTCCTCTTCCAGGCCGCGTTGTGGTCATCCCCACGCGTGGTGTCAGGCGAGCTGGGCAGCTGTGGTTGTTGTTGTTGTTGTTGGTGGTGGCGTTGTTGTTGTTGTTGTTGGTGGTGGCGTTGAGCTTCGACATGGCACGGACGGGTGAAGGAGGCATCGGCATCTAAGATAAAAAAAAAACAACGGGATTCAGGACCGGCTGAGATCTCACTCGCTCGCCACTCATGTTACAGCCGCGTCCGGTCAGCACGGCTGAACACCACCGGTCAGCACGGCTGAACACCACCGGTCAGCACGGCTGAACACCACCGGTCAGCACGGCTGAACACCACCGGTCAGCACGGCTGAACACCACCGGTCAGCACGGCTGAACACCACCGGTCAGCACGGTTGGCTGCGTGCGGTGCGAAAGAAGTTCAACGTGAATCGACAGTAGGTCGGCGGCCGTATCACTGCTCCCTTGTCAGTCCACTGCTGGATGAACACTCGCCCGACGCCGTGTCGGTCACGGGGAGTCGTTTGACCATACTTCACCACGCTGGTCAACTGAAAGAAAGGGAAGGGTGGGGAGGGTTGAGGGGCAGTAGAATCATCTTTAGACATCACTTGCCACTGACGTGAGCCGTCGCTCGCGACTGAACTAGCGGCGGCGTGGACAGTAACGCAGCGCGCAAACCACTCTGCCACCGCTCCCCCGGACAGCAGAGTTATTGCGAAGTCGCGACACGGGTGGAGCAAACTTGATTTGAAGCTTTCGTGACTGCAGGAATTACTCTTTGGTTCTTTCGGTAAAGTCGCGTAGAAAGAAAATAAATCAAATAATCGAGTACGACGTTTCGATTGCAACACAAGCAACCCTCATCAGGTAGGACTAAATTTGAGAGAGAGAGAGACGCAACACGGGTGGAACATTTACACGGAATCGCGGGACAAATTCCAGCCAGCCAAATCATCAGCGGAGTGAGAAACCCAGCCGCGTTGTGGTTGTCTGGGATGCAGTTAATTGAGCAGAACCGGCAGATGATCACGCCCCGGGAGGCGCTGCGCACAGTCTGGAGCCGGACCAAAATGACCTCGAAACCCTCCTCCTCCTCTTCCTCCTCCTCCTCGCACGGTCCGAGAAATTCCGAGGAATTGCGGTCAGGGCGGATTTGCGGAGGGGCGGGGCACGGGAGGGGGGCAGGGCGGGGCACGGGAGGGGGGGGGGCGGGCCGCGAGGGCCCAAAGCCGGCGTCACCCACACAGGCACCATCATCACCATCATCACCATCATCATCACCACCATCATCATCATCACCACCACCATCATCATCAACACCAACACCACCATCACCATCATCACCACCACCATCATCATCACCATCACCAACACCATCACCACCATCATCATCACCATCATCACCATCATCACCACCACCATCATCATCACCATCATCACCACCACCATCATCACCACCAACACCACCACCTTCACCACCACCATCGTCATCATCATCATTACCATCATCATCATCATCACCACCAACACCACCACCTTCACCACCACCATCGTCATCATCATCACCACCACCACCATCATCACCATCATCATCATCACCATCATCACCATCATCATCACCACCATCACCACCATCATCATCATCACCACCACCATCATCATCATCATCACCACCATCATCATCATCATCACCATCATCACCATAATAATCACCACCATCACCACCATCATCATCATCACCACCATCATCATCATCACCACCACCATCATCATCATCACCATCATCATCATTATCATTACCACCATCATCATTATCATTACCACCATCATCATCACCACTATCATCACCATCATCATCACCATCATCACCATCATCATCATTATCATTACCACCATCATCATCATCACCACCACCATCATCATCACCAACATAACCATCATCATTACCACCACCATGATTATCACCATCATCACCACCAACACCACCACCTTCACCACCACCATCGTCATCATCACCACCACGATCATCATCACCACCATCATTATCACCATCATCATCATCACCATCATCACCACCACCATCACCACCTAATCCACCATCACCACCACCATCACCACCATATCCACCATCACCACCACCATCACGTCAGCTGCCGAGAGCGAGATGGGAGGAGCGGTGCATGGGTTCCACACGTCGACCATGGCCACTCACTGACACGCGGGGTGGCTAGGAGATGCTCTCTCCCTCGCCTGCTATGAAGGAGGTCGTGGGTTGTATCCCGACCCTGATGCCTGCTGCTGTATATGTGGAGTCTGCGTGTCTCTCTCCCCGTGGTCGCGTAGATTTTGTCTCCGGGTCCTCCGGGGTTTCCCTCCACATTGAGAATCAAACATCATCACGCATTTAGATTATTTGGCTGCTATACATTTCCACGCGATGCACCACTTCATTGAGCTCTCATTTGTGATAGCCAGGTCGCTTGCATAATCAAAGCTGCATAGCTCAGTGGGCCTTACCCGGTAAAATAAACAAAAATATTTCTAGTTTTAGAAGAGGAACGCGACCCATGGTCGAGACTAATATCGGAACATCAGCCAAAGCGGCGAACGCGCCCGCGAGGACATCCCGCGCGGAGACGGAGCGACGCGATCATCTGTTGTGGGAAATCCTTCCACTCCTGGCAGGACATAAGTGGCCGCTACTCACCTGCATACCGAAGAGCCCCATCGCTACGACATCGGGACATGTGGGGACTGTGGGGAGGAGCGGTGGATGAGTTTGGTGAGCGCGGCGCGCTACGCAGTATTCGGGGCGCGTGAATTAATAATTGAAGGGAAACGCAAAACTAGAAGCAGAGGCGCCCCGCGCCCCGCGCCCCGCGCCCCGCGCCCCGCGCCCCGCGCCCCGCGCCCCGCGCCCCGCGCCCCGCGCCCCGCGCCCCGCGCCCCGCGCCCTTTGAAACTTTAATGAAAGCAGCGGGAAGAGCTGCAGGACGTGGGACGCCCCTCGTGACGGCCCGGGACGTTTACACCGCGACGTTACCCGGCGGCCGGTACGAGACAACGGGCAGTGTGTGTACACGTGTGTGTGCGTACACGTGTGTGTGTACACGTGTGTGTGTACACGTGTGTGTGCGTACACGGGTGTGTGCGTACACGTGTGTGTGCGTACACGTGTGTGTACACGTGTGTGTGTGAACACGTGTGTGTGTGTGTGTATACACTTGTATGTGTGGCAGTGTGTGGGGAACGGTAGTGCAGCGTTTTGCGCGCTGCGCTACGAACCCGGCGATCCGAGTTCGATTCCCGCTCACGGCCAACACAAGTGACGATTATCTGAACCGGTCCGGGAACTGGGCCTCCCCTAGGTCGACGCAGCCTAAAATAAGTATTTGGCGTGATCTGTAAACATCGCCACTGGGGAGACAAAGGCGGCCGGGCGTGGTGCTGGTCACTCACCCTCGTGTGCCATTCCTGTATTCATAGGTGCTACTTGCTAACAGCACTTGCCCCAACAGTCTGTTAAGGCTATACGGGGGATCTTTGTGTGTCTGTGCGGGGTGCACTGTGCACTGTGCTCTGTGCATACCGACGGACACGTGTGTGTGTTTGTGTGGAGTGCAGAGGACTTGTCTCCCACTCGCTGTCTGTGGACTGTGTGCGCACACACTGCAGTCGTACGCAGCATGCGTGCCAGTCCTGTCCTGTACTACTAACGGTTGGAGCACGCACACACTACAACCACCACCACACAACCACCACCACCACAACCACCAGCACCCCGAGATGGCCCCATCCACAAACTCGCCACCAGTCTCCCCGTGCCGACCTTAGCGCCGGCTCTGACCTCTACTGGATCGCCGGTTTCATCATCATCACCACCACCATCACCACCACCATCATCACCGTCGTCGTCATCATCTTTATCGATTTTTCTCTCGGAGGAAGACGAGGAGCGAAGGGGAAGCAGACAAGCAAAAGAGCGTCCGGTGAGTGTGGCTCTTTCATTGGAGGCGGTGGTGGAGGTGGTGAGAGTGGTTGTGGTGGATATGGGGGAGATGGGGGGGGGGTAAATGAGGGGGCGGAGGGAGGGGGTAGCAGGGCAGTGCTGCGCGCTCAGCCGATGGAAATGATTAGAGAGACATTTCGGGCCTTGTGAGAAGAAAAAACAACCCTGCCACGCAAACACAAAAGTGCGCGCGCGTGGGATGTGGTGATGGTGGTGATGATGGTGGTGGTGGTGGCCACTGCTGGGAGCGGTGCCGTAGTTGGTGAACGAACTTCGCGTCCCGACCACGGTTAGCGTCAGTGGCGAGTGATGTCACCGCTTGTCCCGGGGACATCCCCCGAGGTCTACTCGGCCTAAAGTGAGTCCCCTCGTGCGAGCTGTGTAGACATCAGGCACTGGAGAGACGCACGGCGGCCCGACGTGGTGGTGGATGACCGCAGTAACTCCTCGGATATGTCCTTCCTTTTCTGCCGGCCTTCCTAGGTGCCACCTGAATAAGGCACTTGCCCCAACAGCTGGCAAAGGCTACACGGGGGGGGGGTCTTTATCTTTGGTGGTGGTCAGTGGTACAGTGCAAGGAATGTACAATTCGCCAACTGCAGAGTTGGCTGGGCCTCTCTCAGCCCATAGTGCTCCGGCGCAGTTGCACCGCCTACACACCCGATTGGTGGTGGTTGTGGTGGTGGTTGATGCACGCCCAGTACAACGAATCAGAGGGGTGGTTGTGAGAGGGGTCATTCTTGAGATGTTTGGGTCAATTTTGTGAATGAGTTTTTATTAAAATTCGCGCGTGGGAGGAGGAACGTGGTATGTCTGGCGTCTGGCGAGACATTCGGGGGGGGGGGGGGGGTAGAACCAGGGTTTACAGAAGTCCGTCGACATTTTAGTGAATTATATACAAAATATAAAACATTTATTTATCATCTTCCGAATGTTGTAAACCGAATTGCGAGATGAAGATGAAATCGTTCGGGTCGCCAGCACAGCAGTGGAACGCGTAACCAGCCTCGCGACTGACCAGAGCGGTGAAGTATGGTCAAACAAACAACCCCGTCCGTCTCCCACCCCCCCCCCCATTATAATCAGGCGTTCGCCGCTGTTGGCAGGAACCTCATCCAGCAGTGGATTGACAAAGGGCTGTGCGCAGAGTACGCGTGCAAATGCGGGCGGGTTGTGGGCGATGAACAGATTAGCGGCGAGGGCGAGGATAGGTGGGTAGGAGCTTTGTCCGAGTCTCGAGGCAGGTAACAGGTCAGTCTGGTACCGGGTGCTGATATATGTCTGTGTGTGTGTGTCTGTTTGTGTCTGTCTGTGTCTATGTGTCTGTGTGTGTCTATGTGTCTGTGTGTGTGTCTGTGTGTGTCTATGTGTCTATGTGTGTGTGTCTGTGTGTGTCTATGTGTCTGTGTGTCTATGTGTCTGTGTGTGTCTATGTGTCTGTGTGTGTGTGTCTGTGTGTGTCTATGTCTCTGTGTGTGGGGGGGAGGAGCGGTGGCGCAGTGGTTGACGCGCTGCGCCGCGATGCGAACCCGGCGACTCGAGTTCGATTTCCGCTCATTGCAAACAACAGTGACGATTACCGCGCGTGCTGCTGCCTGGCTACCCCCCCTTCTCGCGTGCCACAGTGGCGGCCTTCATAGGTGCTCTTCACTCCTCACGGGACTTGCCCCATCAGTCTGGCCAGGCTATACGGGGGACCTTTGGATGGCAGCGCTGCTGCGCCTGCCTGCTCCGTGACAGCAATGGACGCGCGTCGAGTTGCTCGTCACGAGTCGTCAGCCTCCACGAGTGAGGGAGCTGTAGCCAAGAGCTCGCGTCTGCAATCATCATCATCATTGATGATCTAAATACTTCAGCGTCAGCGGTCGCCGTGCTCAGTCCACTGCAGGATAAAGGCATCGGACCCGAGTCGTCACCCCCCCACCGCATCTCGCCCCCCCCGTTCGTGTCGCGCCCACGTGGGCTTAGTGGGGTTAGTTCGCGTGAATATTCAATGTTGTGTCGTTAGACCCGCCACCACCTGGCACAGGCAATTCGTCACGGGTGTGTCTCGTGAACAAAAAAGCGTTCCAATTCGTTACTAGTTCGTCACTAGCCGGTACTCGGATTGTAAATGTGCGTGGGTTTTCCTCTCCCACACCCCTTGTGTGCCGAACCAGTGACGAATTGGCACGTTTCGTTGACGTGACGAACCTTACGAACTGGCTGCATCGAGTGCTGGCGGATGTAACGACACCACATTGATATATTTACGCGATCTAACACAACAAAAACCCCCCTCTATGATGGATATTGGTCGCGATAGTCTCCTGTTACTTCGTGTTAAACCGACGGCCGATTCTGCGAACATCAGACGCGGGGGGGGTGGGGGTCAAGGCGCAGCCCTGCAATTGCGTGTTCACGCCACTGCTGCCAGACGGACTTTCACGAGAGGGAGCCCTTCCCTACTCGCGGGCCCTTGGCCTCGCCTTCCACGCTGAGCCAGACGTCTCGGAATCAGAATCTTGATCTCACACTGGAGGAATCCGATGAGCTATAAAGCTCTTGTTCACAGATGCCCAGTCGGGGCACGGGGTCAGCACGTGACAGCGACGAAGCAACACAAAGACACGGCAGGAGTGCAAAGCGGAGGAGAAGTGTGAGTACCCACACTTTACCCCACAACGCGCAGCCGACTGATTGATTCACGGTGGTGGACACCTTTATAGTGCTGGGTGGAGGGAGGTTTGTGTATGTGTGGAGGGTGATTTGGGGAAATTGCCTCGCCGGGAGATCGAATGGAACCGGTGCCGTCTGGATCGCAAGTCCAGTGCGCGGACAATTCCACCACGGGGATATTGAGTGGGCGGGGAAGTATGGTGAAAGCAACCCCCACCCACCATACCCCCCCCCCCCACCGACACGGCGTGGAAGAGGGAGGCCCTTCGTCTAGCAGTGGATAGAGGAAGGTCGCCGCTGCTGCTGCTACCTGTGCGCGCGGGGGTCACGTGGTGGGGCTGAGTCGCGCTCCCATTGGCTGAGCCCGCGAGTGTTGATCGGAGCAGATTCGAGCGAGAGAAACAATGACCTTCACGTGTTCCTCCATCCAAGGTCACGACCCCCCCCCCCCCACAACCCCCTCCCCACAGTGGAGGGTGGGTAGGTGGGAGGGAGTTGTGGTTCGCGCAGGTGATCAGGTGAGCAGCGGTCCGCTGAGTCATTCACATCACCTGTCCCTCTCACCGTCTTTAGATTTAGAGGGAGAGGGGAGGGGGGCATTGTTGGGGAGGGGGGCGGGTGTCAGCTGGTCCAGACCGGTGAATACCAAACTGTGTGTTGGTGTGCGCGAGCAGCACTTGGCCCAGCAGCCCGTGTGGCCTTTACGGGGATCTTTGTTTTGTTTGTCTGTAGTACAGCGTTACGCGCGCTGTGTTGCGGCTGCACCGCGCACAGGTGAGCGAGTGGGTGAGCAAGTGAGTGGGTGTTGAGTAGGTGGGTAAGTGAGTGAGTGGGTGAGTGAGTAGGTGGATGAGTGAGTGGGTGGGTGAGTGGGTTAGGTGAGTGGGTGAGCTAGTGAGTGCGTGGGTGAGTGAGTGGGTTAGGTGAGTGAGTGGGTTAGGTGAGTGGGTAGGTAAGTGAGTGAGTGGGTGGGTGAGTGGGTTAGGTGAGTGGGTGAGCTAGTGAGTGCGTGGGTGAGTGAGTGGGTTAGGTGAGTGAGTGGGTTAGGTGAGTGGGTGGGTAAGTGAGTGAGTGGGTGGGTGAGTGGGTTAGGTGGGTGGTTGAGCTAGTGAGTGCGTGGGTGAGGGAGTGGGTTAGGTGAGTGGGTGAGTAAGTAGGTGAGTGGTTTCGGTGAGTAGGTGAATGAGTGAGTGAGTGGGTAGGTGAGTGGGTTACGTGAGTAGGTGAGTGAGTGGGTGGGTGAGTAAGTCGGTTAGGTGAGTGGATGAGTGAGTGGGTGAGTGGGTTAGGTGAGTTTGTGAGCTAGTGAGTGGGTAATTGAGTGGATGAGTGGGTTAGGTGAGTGAGTGGGTGAGTAGGTTAGGTGAGTGGGTGAGCTAGTGATTGAGTGGGTGATTGAGTGGGTGAGTAGGTTAGGTGAGTTTGTGAACTAGTGAGTGAGTGATGGAGTGAGTGAGTGGGTGGGTGGGTGATGGAGTGAGTGAGTGGGTGGGTGAGTGAGTGAGTGGTGGGTGATGGAGTGAGTGAGTGGGTGGGTGGGTGGGTGATGGAGTGAGTGAATGTGTGAGTGAGTGGGTGGGTGATGGAGTGAGTGAGTGGGTGGGTGATTGAGTGAGTGAGTGGGTGATGGAGTGAGTGAGTGGGTGGGTGATGGAGTGAGTGAGTGAGTGGGTGGGTGATGGAGTGAGTGGGTGGGTGATGGAGTGAGTGAGTGGGTGGGTGATTGAGTGAGTGAGTGGGTGGGTGATGGAGTGAGTGAGTGGGTGGGTGATGGAGTGAGTGAGTGGGTGGGTGATGGAGTGAGTGAGTGGGTGGGTGATGGAGTGAGTGAGTGGGTGGTTGGGTGATGGACTGAGTGGGTGGGTGATGAAGTGAGTGGGTGAGTGGGTTAGGTGAGTTAATGGGTGGGTGAGTGTGTGAGTGAGTGAGTGGGTGAATGTGTGAGTGAGTGGGTGAGTGGGTTAAGTGAGTGAGTGGGTGGGTGATGGAGTAAGTGAGTGAGTGTGTGAGGGAGTGAGTGGGTGATGGAGTGAGTGAGTGAGTGGGTGGGTGATGGAGTGAGTGAGTGTGTGAGTGAGTGGATGGGTGATGGAGTGAGTGAGTGGGTGAGTGTGTGAGTGTGTGGGTGGGTGATGGAGTGAGTCAGTGGGTGAGTGTGTGAGTGAGTGGGTGATGGAGTGAGTGAGTGGGTGAGTGATGGAGTGTGTGAGTGAGTGGGTGGGTGGGTGGGTAAGTGAGTGAGTGGGTGAGTGTGTGAGTGAGTAGCTGGGTGATGGAGTGAGTGAGTGGGTGATGGAGTGAGTCAGTGGGTGAGTGTGTGAG